CCAGGCACCCGGCAGCATCCTGGGGTGCTCCAAACCTCCCCTTCCCAGTGCTCCCAGTACTCCCAGTGCTCCCAGTGCGGGCTCCAGGCACCCGGCAGCATCCCGGGGCGCTCCAAGCTGCATCTCCCCAGTCACCCCCCAGTCCCCCCAGTGCTCCCAGCACCGGGCAGCATCCCGGGGCGCTCCGACCCGCTCCTCCCCAGTCCCTCCCAGCGCTCCCAGTCCCCCCAGTGCTCCCAGTACCGGCTCCCAGCACCGGGCAGCATCCCGGAGCGCTCCGAGCCGCTCCTCCCCAGTCCTCCCACCAATGCTCCCAATACCCCCAGTACTCCCAGTATGGGCTCCAGGCATCCGGCAGCATCCTGGGGTGCTCCAAACCTCACCTTCCCAGTGCTCCCAGTACTCCCAGTGCTCCCAGTGCGGGCTCCAGGCACCCGGCAGCATCCCGGGGCGCTCCAAGCTGCATCTCCCCAGTCACCCCCCAGACCCTCCCAGTGCTCCCAGTCCCCCCAGTGCTCCCAGTACCGGGCAGCATCCCGGAGCGCTCCGAGCCGCTCCTCCCCAGTCCCTCCCAGTGCTCCCAGTATAGGCTCCAGTCACCCGGCAGCATCCCGGGGCGCTCCAAGCTGCATCTCCCCAGTCACCCCCCAGTCCCCCCAGTGCTCCCAGCACCGGGCAGCATCCCGGGGCGCTCCGAGCCGCTCCTCCCCAGTCCCTCCCAGTGCTCCCAGTGCTCCCAGTCCTCCCAGTATAGGCTCCCAGCACCCGGCAGCATCGCGGGACGCTCCAAGCTGCATCTCCCCAGTCACCCCCCAGTCCCCCCAGTGCTCCCAGCACCGGGCAGCATCCCGGAGCGCTCCGAGCCGCTCCTCCCCAGTCCCTCCCAGTGCTCCCAGTCCCTCCGCACTGGTCCCACCTGGGGGGGCGGCGGCGGCGAGGGGCCGGGCCATGGCGATGGCGAGCCCGAGGAGGGCGAGGGGCAGCCCCGTGCGGCGCGGGGCCATGGCGGGGCCGGCTCCGGTCGGCGGCTCCGGCTGCTCCCGGCCACGGTCG